AGAAAAGAGAAGAAAGGATTGTTGCCCTCTTGGTTTCCCAGGGATTCGGCTGCTTGGCTGCTTCAGCCCCAGGCTGCTGGGGGGACCCAGCCTCTGAGCGAGGGTCTGGCTTTCCTCCAGAACACCCACCACCCGCCGCCTCCCGGCCTCGCTGCGGGCTCTGTGCCCATGCCACCAGTCAGGGACATTCAAGTGCTGATGGAGGGATGTGCCCTCCCGTCCCTCTGGCTGGAGATGAGACCTGGAGGTCTCCCCTGGGGACATGCGGCATCATGGAGATGGATCAAACTTGGGGGGCAGGAGGGGAGGGGAGGTGCTGTCAGCTCGGGAGGTCTGCTCTGCCGTGTGAAGCCCTGCCACCCCGCACTGCTGGTGCATCCATACCATAGCCATACATACATCCGCAGCTCCTCCTGGTATGTACGTATGGGCACAGGGGTGCAGACCTCGTGTGTGCATTGCCACACCTCGGGGAACATGCTCTGTGTGAACATCCTCATCCACCCATCGAGCTGGTCTGGAAGGTGGGGTTTTTTTGGCAGTCCCACTGCCCCTTTCGTGGGCGTGATGAGCTGCTCTGGGACAGCCCAGTCCCAGCTCAGTCAGACCTGGAAATCGGCAGAGGGGGATTAAGGTTTGGGAGAGCTGGGTTGAGGGGTAGCTGCTCACAGAGGGACAGTGAAAGAGGCTTCATGCCTATGGTGGGACCACTCCCTCGTGGAGATGCTACTGGGACATGGGGGTCTGGGCATGACCTGGTGGGAATTGTCCCATTTCTCCGTTCCACCAGTGCTGCGATGGTGCTTGTTCCCGGGCACCTCCTGCCCTGTGCCCTTCCCCACATGGAGAGGGGGATGGATGCCCTTCCCTGGGGCATTGCTTCATATAAGGGCATCTTCTCTTCCTAGTAGCCCCCCAGTGCAGCTGGTGGGCGGGATGGATCATGGGGGCTCTGAACTCCTGGGTAGCAACAGCTCCAGCCTTTCTGAAGCTTTGCCTCCTACTTCTCCATTAACGCTCTGGTTTCCCCCTGTGCCAACAGTGCGTTCTCCCCCTGGCCTGGCCAAGACCCCGCTCTCAGCACTGGGGCTGAAACCCCACAACCCGGCTGAGATCCTGCTGCACCCAGTGGGAGGTGAGTGCTGGCATGGGGACTGCAGGTGGTTTTTTGTGGGAGCATCCATGAAGGTACCCCTGTAAGGGTCCCCTGGCTGGAGAAGGCACTTCTGCCTCCCTTTTTGGGAGGACGTTTTGGGGCCAGGTGGCCCTGGGGTTTTTGTCACCTCCCATGAGGACTCTGGGACTGTGTGAGGCTTGGGGGATGTTGGTGCTGTCCTGGGGGGCTCAGCCCAGCAGGGCTGCTGGTGCCAGCAGGGTTTCTGGTGGTGGAGGCTGGAAAACCCCGGGGTCCTGCCGCCTCCCCAGCACCATACTTCTCCCTCCCTCGCCCCCTCCATCCCTGCTCCTCCCCAGCACAATCGGAGAGGGTTTGCTATCCTGGAGCTGAGCCTGTCAGCTGGAACAGTATCCAGAGCCCTCTCCATACTGGAGAGCTCTCTTTGGGTGCAAAGGCCCCGCTGTCCTGGGGACACATCCCAGAGCAGCATGCCAAGCCAGACCTCGCTGCTCCCCAGCACCCAGGGCCTCTTCCTGGGCCATCCCAGGGCTGAATGTAACCTCCCCAAAACCCGGCTGAGCCCAGGGGGTGATGGCCTGGCTGAGCCCACCCAGTGGGACCCTTCTTGCTCTGCCCCCAAGGGCGAGCTGTTGCTTTTTTGATGCTTGCTGAGTTTCCCAGAGCAGCGCTTTGTGGTGGCTCCCCACTGTTCCCTACCTGAAACCAGGCTCTTGGGGTTTGGACATCATCTCTGGGATGCCCAGGCGGACCCTGGGGGTGTCCGAGGCCAGAGGCCCGGTTTGGGGCGCAGTGTCGGGGAGCTGTGGGGCTGTCCTTTGCGCTCTGTGTGCCCCTGCCTAAGCAAGGCAAAGCTGCTTAACTCGGATTTCTCTTCCTTTCTGTCTCGCACCTCCCTTCTTCCTCCTCTCCCTGCTCCCATTGCTCCCCTGCCCCTCCATCTCTCAGAGCTAGAAGGGGAGGCGGGCGGTGACTCTGAAGAAGGTAAGAAAGGCTTTTCTTTCTCTGTCTCTCTCTTCCCCGCTCATCTCCACTGTTGCTCAGAGCAGGCTCTGGCTGTCTGTGCCAGCAGCCTTCCCTTGCACTGGCCTCCAGGGATGTAGGAGCCTGAGTCTTGCCCATCCCGCTCCCTTCCAAGGAAGGGAACATCGTGCCTGGTGTCGTGGTTGTATTCCCTGATGTCCAAATTGGACCTGGAGGTCTGTCACGTTGGGTGGCAATCATCCGTGGGGGCTGAGAGCTCTTGGTCGGTGTGTGGCATCCTTGCTGGCGGCGCGCTGGGGATGCTGGCGTGCCGTGGCTAGCTTTGGATGAGTCTGGCAGGGCGCTGGGAGCAGCAGCCCTGGTTTTGGGCTCCTGCTCCCCCCCTTCTGGCTTTTCTCCTACATCCTCCATGGGCTGGGAGGCTGCCCAAATTCCCCCCACCTCTCCCATCCCTGGGCTGCACCTCTCCTGGGATGCCGAGGACGGGGCTGAGCTGGGACGGCAGCTGGGGTGCGGCTCTGCTGATGGTGGGGGCAATGTGGGCTCTGGGGTGGAATGTCTTCTGGGGGGACGAAGGCTTTGGGAGCGGCTGCGATTCCCCTGGGTGCTGCCTGCTGTCTGATCGTTGTTGGGTGGTTTTGCTTTCTTTAATGAAACTTTCGGCCCTCGGGGACAGGATGGGGAACTGTGTGTTCAGGATGGGTTTTGAGGAAAGGATGTCTCTTCTCAGTGAGTTTCCGATGCTTCCTGTGGCCCTGGGAGCCGTCAGCATTTCTCCCTGGCAGTTCCTCAAAATGCACATAACCCAAACCTGAACACTGTGTAATATTAGAGAAGGTATTTGCTTGGAGAAAACAACACAGAAACTGTTCTGCTTCCAGAGCTGATTTTTCAGCGATAGCTTCTTAGGTACATTAAAGGAAGAAAAGCCAGGATAAAACCAGGCTTTTCCCTCCTAAGTCCCCCACAGCTTTACCGTTTCTGTCTAGCTTTAAGCCTCCAAAAACCCATCGTTGCCCCTTCCCACCAAATCCTCAGGAGCTCAAGCTGCGCTGCTGCTCTGTTCCTGTGGCACTCCAGCTGCTGGCATAGTGGTTGACCCGGAGCGAGGGTGTCCGGTGACCCTGTGCTGGCTGGGCTGAGTAGCCACCACCAGCCTCCTGCCCTGCTTCATCCTCTGGGATAACGTGATGGTTTTTAGGGGCTTGAGTCTGCAGTCCTGAGCAGGGACTGGTGTTTTGGCTTGGCAAAGCTTTGTCTTGGCACCCTCTGCACCCAGCCGCACACCCCATGAGGATCCCTGTCTCCCCGGGCTCTGCTCAGCAGATCCCAGCCTGCGTGGCCAGGCTGTGCCTGGGGCCGGGGGATGCTTTGGCAGTGCCAGAGCTCAGAGCCTGGCTGCCAGCTCTGACGACGCTTTAAAACAGCCTGGCACGGTCGCAGTACTGGGGATTTCTGGCCGGAGCGTAGCCCTGCTTGGATTCGGGATTCCCTAATGACTGCCCACCTCCCTGGTGACTCACGGCCTCTCTGTTCTCCCACCATCTTCCCATCTCTGGAGCCTCTTCCAAGAAAACACCAGGAGGCAAGATCGGATTTTTCAGCCTAAAAAAATCCTGCCTGAAACCTCCTAAGTTTTTTTTCTGTCTTCTTTTTTTCCCCCATATTGAACCAAAGGGCTTGGCTGGTGCGCACGGTCGCACACCTCACTGCGGCACACGTGTGCTGTCCCCCCTCCCCGAGCCCCCGGCTCCTGCCTTGCCTCAGCCCCCACCTTTGCAGGAGAGGCTGGGATTTTCACAGCCGTTTGGTCTTAACCTCTTGCAGGCTGACTCACATGTACTGTCTGGCTAATTTTAGTCTGGGGTGGGGAGCTGGGGGGGACAAGTGAGTAGCTGTGAAATTAATTTAATTACCGAAGCAGCGATGAGTTTCTCGCAGCTGCCCTGAGCGTCCTCCTGGGCAGTGCCTTGTCCCTGTCACTCAGAGCCTCGTGTCCTGCCTCAGATGCTGGTACCCAGCCCATGTTCAGGTCCTCAGTCTGGTTCTGGCTCAGATCTTTCCTGAGGTGGTTGAGCAGGGCTGGGCAGGGAGATCAGCCCAAGGGATGGACTCCTCCTCCCCTGTCCACAGCCAGATGGGGCACAGAGATGCTGCGTGGGAAGGAGGGGGACCCATGACAATCTTATTCCTTGCATCCCACTGGTCCGGCACTGAACATGGAGCTGGGCATTGGCATTGCTGCCTGCGAGCAGGCCGGCTTGCCGGCAGGCTTAGCCAGAGCCCGGCTGTTATGACTAATAGTAGTAATAATAATAATAATAATGTTTGTCTTGCTAATTACTACCGCGGAGCTGCTTCAGGCATGGCCAGCCTGGAGCCGGGGACCTGCAAGGATGCTTGGCCCACAGCGTCTGGTGCCAGCAGATCTTGCTTAGGGTGTTGTGCCCCAATACGGAGGCAGTCGGTGGCACATGCCAGCGAGGTGTGACCTGGCTGCGGGGGCATGGCGGGAAGGGGCTGAAGCTGCTGCCTCTTCCTCCGGTGCGGCTTTTGGGGAGGACTGGGGGCTGCGGGGGCTTTCATAGGGACAGGGACCAGCCTGGATGGAGCAGGAGGCAGAGGGGAAGGGGAGGAAGGAGGGCTGGGTCTGATGGCTGCTGTGGGTGGTGATGGCCAGCCCAGCCTGCTGCTCCTGGCACGGGACAGCTCGGCGGCTCCAAAGGAAAATTGCTTTTCTTGGTCATGCTTGTGGGCTCCAGTTTCACGCCGGGCTGGGAGCGAGGGTGTTGGATACTGCAGTGGAAATAGCTGGAGCTGCTCCATGGACTGCTGCTGGATATGGCTGGGGGAGGGGGGGCGGG